GAGAACTGTTCACAGTGCTACCTTCATCTAGAAAATCAATCAGTATTATACTTCGCATATCCTAAAAGATAGTTACCATCACCTTCTTGGATGACTTCTTCACTTTGAATTTTGTTTTCTTAGATGAGCTGGGATGATGCTATTCTAATGACTGTGCCTTAGTTTTTGAGTCATAAAGGCATACCCAGGTTTCATCTCCAGTCATTATATTTGAAAATGTCGTCCTTTTGGGCCTCATAGAGATCCAGTAGCTCTTGGCATAATTGAAATCTTTCTTCACGCTGTCAGACGTTTGTTTCTTTAGAACCTATTTTGAACAGAATTTTCTGTACCTTAGTTGTTAAATCATTGTTTATATTGCATTAGATCCAACATTTAGTATATTACACAACTTTTTAATAATTATTATTCGATCATGACTGATAAGGCCATCGACGTTGTCTTCGTTTTCAGAGTTAGTTGCTGTTGATGGCCTTCCACTATTTGGTTTGTCATCCAAAAAAGTCTCACCATTTCGGAATATTTAATCAATTATGGCTTCTCTGTATACATTTTTCAGTCTCTGTCTAATCTCTGAAGCTGAACCATCCCTCTTTTTCCAAAAAAATCAATATAACGACTCTCTGCATAGATAACGTTTTATTTAACAGAATATTACAATTTAAATTAAATAGGTCAATTATTTTTCGAGTTATGGGCAAACATGTATTACAATTACCTCTGTCTCCTTAAAATAATAGAGAACCGGCGATATGCAAAGACTTTCCTGAGTTTTGTTCATTAATGTATTTTGATCCAAACAATCCACATTGATGCACAAGAAAGAATAGAAAGGCAATGAAAAAATGATACTGAGTTACAATATCTTCTTTTGTAATATTCAACAACAAAGAAATAAATTCATAACAAATATAGATAAATAAAACTCTAATTTAATATCTTTTCAATACTATATTTTAAAACAGATTTCATATTTTTAAAATATATATGCATCTATAAAACACTCTAACTAATAATAATAATTACCTAATATATACCAATTTACTCAAAATGGAAATCCAAGTTTAAATTTTTCGTCTTGATAAAGATAAATATGAAATATAACAGAAAAAAAATGTTATTTCTAAACATGTTAGGTTTACATTTCATTGTTTCTATTAAATCTAAATAGACACAGAATCTTACAATTATCTTTTAAAACTCAAAAAATCATTCAAATCTCTTTAGAACTCTACATTTAAAATTTAAAATAAAGAGAGAATGAAGTACTTTTAATAAATCAGCATCTTTTTTTTCCTTATTCTCTTAAAGAAAACAACATAAACAATATAACATTGGAGATAAAGGACGCTTTTAAACACAGAGAGACTCTTAAAGAAAACTTAAACAACGTATCTGATAAAGAAGGTACTTCTTTTTCCAAGGAAATCTAAACAAAGCAAATCCTTACGGTCCGTTTACTTGGTCGTTTCAAACAAAGACAGCGGTTAGGAATGTCTTCATCAAAAGGTATAATGTCAAACACAAGCCGTGATGAATCCGGTCTCTAATCACCAAGAACCTTTCTTTAACTGTAAACACAATTAAGAGAATACACTTTGCTGGAATAAAGATGTTTGATCTAACTGCTATTGTAATGTTGAAGGGGGTGAAGGACTTACAGGAATTTCAAAACATTCAAAAAAGGTTTTCTTTTTTTAAAGATTTTTTTTTCTCTTTGTGAAGAGATGTCTAGATATATAAATAGAGTGTTGAATAAATAAACCTATTTATATATATATATATTTGTAAGTATTTTCTAAAGATGCAGTGTATATTTTTAGATACGTTAGCTTTTATATATTGTAGTGTAGTGTAGAAATTTAGGGTTGAATATGGAGACAGGAGAGAAATGTAGTGTATATATATCCTTGTAAAGAATGCATGACGTGTAAACTAGATCTCAACTTTTTTTTATCCCTAGTACACGTGGTACAGGCCATGGTAATTATGATGGGTAGTTAGCGACTTTTTACTGTAAGTGCTCAAGGAAGTTGTACCTTTTAGAATGTATACCGAGATTCAGACAATAACTCTGAAAGATATTTAAAACACAGTGACCTTTATTGAAGACAAACGAGATAACCTTTTTTTTGCTTATCCCTAGTACACGTGGTACAGGCCATGATAAGCATGGTGGGTAGTTAGCGACTGCTTTTACTGTAAGTGCACCACATGTCTACACATGTGAAAAGCAGTTCGACTTTTGCACTACAAATGTGCCAGAGCTCTGTTTAGTTAATTGTACTCGCTGATTGGGTTGGAATTTTGCAAGAATCAGGGGCCATTGGAGCATTTTTTTTAATTAGAAAAAAGTGCCCAATGAGGGATTCAATCCCGGGTCGTAGCGGTTGAAAACCAATGGTTTAGACCATCCTTCCACCGACTCCCAGATCTCAACAAACGGCGCTGTGATTATAACTCTTTGTTTACCAGCTGTTTACTATTTATATATATTCTCTGTGTCGAGGCTCATTTTTTACCACTACTAGTAGAATTTTTATTGTGATAATGAACATAATGCATTATTCTCTGGTTCTGGTTCAAATCACATTAATAGGTACCGCTCAACAAGAGCAACCTAGTTCATGATAATTGAAACAATGAATAATATATGTGAAGGTTATTAACATATTAAACTATTTTTACCGAGGGATTCAATCCCGGTTCATGACTGTTGGGAATCGAGCGTGTTACCCTCTCATCCACCGACTATTTTTTTTTTGCATTATTCTGATGCCTAATCAAACGGAGATATGCCTCTCTAGATAATGAATATGATCAATCGGAAACTCTTCAATGTTGTACTCTTAGCCTGAAAATCGACCCGTGCTACATATCACCAGTTTAAACAGCATGTTTGGTAAATTCGACAGATTTCATAATTTCTCTCGTAGTATGTTATGAAATCGAAGCTACCTCTCTACTGATGAGGGCCATAGCCTGAAACCATGGTATACAGGTTTTTCACCTCCGCAGAATCATCCTGGTTCCTTCACCGCACCGATAGTTGCCAAAAATTTCCCAAAATTGCCATGATCTGTAATGAATTGGATATTATAAAAATTTGGACGGAAAAATCTTGGAATTCCAAATAAGAAAAAGCTTCTGAAAATTTCATTAGTATTTACAAAAAAGAAAAGTATAAAAATTTTGATCACTTTTGTAAATACATATACAACTTTCTCTTGAATTGGAAAAAAGAGAAGGAATCTTAGAAAAAAAAACTGCGATGCTTGCTCTGTGTGTTTTGCTTTGTTGTTTGTTTTTTCTCTTTGGACAATTTTCTTGAGTTAATTTATGATAAATAATGAATTGAACAGGATTGTATATAGCCGAATTGCTGTGATGCAGTGAAAGGTATTGACGCAAATATCCCTGAGTTTGGAATATCGCGTTTCATGATGTTAATAAAGTTTATAATAAATATGGTATACGGGTTGGATTTTGTTTGAATTTACAAAAAACTGTTGTTGTGGCTTATTCTTGATCACCACTATTATAGGTGTTTAGTAGGATGACGCATTGTGCCTTTCTTCTGATACATAATAAAAAGGAGAGGTGCCTTTATAGATATATGAATATTGCCACATGGAAAATTAGGGAAGACAAAAACTTCAGGAGGAGACAACAATTAATTTCAGGTAAGAACAAACTATCAATGGTAAACAAAAGATAAGCCACGAGGGAAATTTTCAGAGTAGCAAAATATAAACATAAAAATGACCATTCTGTTAATAAAAAATAATATAATTAAATAAATACTTTGTTAGATAGCTTCTTCCCTATGGGAGCTGTGACCCACAGCTAGCAAAATTGTAGATACTGACATGGATCTGACGTGCTTCAGCCAAGGATTCCATCGAAGTCTTGGAACTTTGCCCCTAGTACCTTTGCGTCCTTTTTCTTGCGGCGTGAAGAGCGGCTTTGTCGTCATATCGTCTATAGGGATATCGTCATCTTCGAGGGAAGTCTTGGCTTTAGCACGCCGGTGGAATCCTGGAGTCAGTCTCCGAAAATGTATATCACAGCACCCATGGCTTCAAGGTCTTCTCGGCGGTCTTCAGTTTGTCTTCCCTAACTTACCCAGCATATCCACCAAAATGCCACGTGGAAAATTAAGGAAGACAAAAACTTCAGGAGGAGACAACAATTTATTTCAGTCAAGAACAAACTATGAATGTTAAACAAAAGATAAGCCACGAGGAAAATTTTCAGAGTAGCAAAATATAAACATAAAAATGACCATTCTGTTAATAAAAAATAATAAAATTAATAAATACTTTGATAGAATATCATTCTCCCGCAACTCTATGTTGCATATATCTCTCTATTTACATATATGCTTGGTGGAGGTGCTGGTTGTGGGGAGGCTGGGACTGTTAGATGATTCTCATTCAATCATTACATTACTTGATCGTGAGTCTGGAATATCAATGGAAATACAATCCTTTATAAATATTTCTCTGAGGGAAGAGTTCATCACATCAATATAAGATCTCGGAGCAAACAGCCCTTCGATAGGTATAACTACGCTACTAAAACTTCTAGTACTAAAAGTACTAGTGTACAACACCAGCACCTCTCCCAAACACATATGTAAATAGAGATAATATATGTGAGCAACATACCAAGTAAACGGACCGTAAGGATTTGCATAGTTTAGATTTCCTTGGAAAAAGAAGTACCTCACAGGGTCTCTCTGTGTTTAAAAGCGTCCTTTATCTCCAATGTTATATTGTTTATGTTGTTTTCTTTAAGAGAATAAGGAAAATAATAATGTTGATTTATATTAACAGAGAGAAACTATAAAACGAAAATTGCAATTATACCGCGAATGTTTCTTTTAAACAAAAATCGAAATTTATTTTTAAAGAGAAATAACGACTATTTATAACTTTAAGGATGAAGTATGAAAGGGTGAAAATTTGAAGAGTAATGGCGAACGGAAAAATAAAAGTGTCCAGGGGCGCGAAACGAACCCACGACCTTCCGCTTACCGGGCAGATGCCATGTCCACTAGGCTACCCTGGACATATTTTTCCGTTCGTAAATATTATATAAAGTAATTTAAAATACAATATAACGCGGCTGATGATTGTAAAACGAAAATTGCAATTATATAGAAACTATACAACATAGAGTTACGGGAGGATGCTATTCATGTACCTATACTGGCATCTCTCCTTTTAATTATGTATCACAAGAATGCATTATACCCATCAACCTAGTAAAACCTTCACTAGTGATAATAAAAGTAGTAATAGTTTATTACTAAAAGTATTTTCTCGTTTTTTCTCTCTTCCTCATTGTTAACATCATATGACTATTCTATTCACGGCCTAAAATTATTGTATATATATATATATATATATATATGAAAAAACAATAGAAAAAAATAAAAGTGGGTCAGGTGTTGATATTAAAAAAAAAAGGCATCTCCTGACCACGAGCACATATGCTTTTTAGATGGCAGAGCTCCATCTAGTGGAGCAAAAATAAACTAAATGTTTATTTAGCTTGCTCCGTGATATTTGGCCAACCCAATTTCTTGATTTATCAAGAAAAACCATCCACGAACGCGTTTCGCGCTGTTGGCGCTCGTCAGCGTGGAGAAGGCTGTAACCACTGCGACCAAAAAATATTTTTGGTCCCAATGATTTCCTGAGAAATCAGAAAATGGGTATTTAAGGCCAAATTTGCGTAAAGACGCTTAACACATGAAAAAACAATTTAAAAAAAAAGATATTTTCGTGGATGGCTTTTCTTGATAAATCAAGAAATTGGGTTGGCCAAATATCACGGAGCAAGCTAAATAAACGTTTAGTTTATTTTTGCTCCACTAGATGGCGCTCTGCCATCTAAAAAGCATATGTGCTCGTGGTTAGGAGATGCCTTTTTTATTTTTAATATGTATATATAAAAACCTCTGATAATTTAAAACCCCAGTCATTCTACCATGTCCCTGCCTATGTCCAACCACCTTGTACCCTGTACCAACTTACTGTATGACATAATGTACTGCTAAGAACCAAATAAAATACGGACTGTATGTCAGACAGACAGAGAAAAACAAGGAGATAATACGATTATAGATATTAATAAACGATTGCAGTTAGGCCTAGAGTTAAGAGGAAATATTTCTATCTCGCATCATTAGCGCTAGGTCAACGACACTTTTATTCCAGATATATATGTATAGACAAATGTAAAGGCATACATGTATGACAGCGCAAGTGTCCCTAGGGGGACATAGCGCTTTAAATTGAAATAAAATAAAGTTTAGTACTAAAGGTTTTAGAAAAACTTTGTTATTCCTGTCGAAGGGCGATTACATCCGAAAGCTTGTATTATCGTGATTTGTAAAAGGACATTTGAACATCATCCCGCATGAGTTTCTTTTCAAAGAAAAATCAAAATTTATTTTAAGGAGAAATAACGATTATTTCTAACCTTAGGGATGAGGTATGAAAGGATGATTTGTGAAGAGTAATGATAAACGGAAAAATAAAAGTAAAAGTGTCCAGGGATGGGAATCGAACCCACAGTGTTCCGCTTACCGGGCGGATGCCATGTCCACTAGGCTATCATTACTCTTCACAATTCATCCTTTCATACCTCATCCCTAAGGTTAGAAATAATCGTTATTTCTCCTTAAAAAAATTTTGATTTTTCGTTGAAAAGAAACACAAGCGGGATAATTTTCAAATGTCGTTTTACAATCACAAATCGCATTATATTATATTGTATTATCGTGATTTAAATAGAAACTCTTCTCTCAGTGATTTTCTCTCTCTCTCTCTCTCTCTGTCTTTCTCTTTTATTTATAATTTTATGTCTTATAAAGAATTTAGAGCAATCTATAAGATGCCTCCAATGTATGTATTCCAATGTATCCGATCAATAAATGGCGCTTAGTATTAAAGTCCATTTTGCCGTCACAAATTTCCATCTCACGGGAAATATTTCAATTTATCTACAGTTAAACCTGTCTATAGTGCCCCTCTAAATAGCAACTCTTTCTCTATAGCGCCTGATTTTAAATACGTATTACGATGCGATTTACATTAAAATTGACCTGTTTATAGCACCCCCTCTCTATATCACCCTATTTTGGTGAGTCCCAAAAGGGGGCGCTATAGACAGGTTTAACTGTATATATATTTATATATATAAGAAAAAATCGCCTGTCCTATCAAAATAGACATCAAAACTAGACGCCATATATTGACCGTTGCCGCAAACTAGCGGCCTCGGATCGGTAACAAAGCCACAATGCCAACTTTGGCAAAACTGTCAAAAACAACCTCCAGAATCAACCACTTTTGTTGCACCAAGAATTTCCATTCCTGATATGATCAAATCTCCAATGAAAGACTATCTCTAGGAGCGATCACTTTAAAACACCAAAAGTATGAATAATCCTGATCTAATTCAAATCTCCAATGAAAGACTATTTATTAGAGCGAACACTTTAAAACACCAAAAGAATGACCATTCCTGATATGATAAAATCTCCAATGAAAGACTATTTCTAGGAGCGAACACTTTCATAAAACCAAAAGTATGTATAATCCTGATATAAATCAAATCTCCAATGAAAGGCTATTTCTAGGAGCAAACACTTTTATATCACCAAGAAAAACCATTCCTGATATGATCGAACCTCCAATAAAAGACTACCTTCAGGAGCGACCACTTTCATAACACCAAAAGTATGAATAATCCTGATATAAATCAAATCTCCAATGAAAGACTATTTCTAGGAGCGAACACTTCAGAACACCAAGAATGACCATTCCTGATAAGATCAAACCTCCAATGAAAGACCCTTTTCTATAGCGACCACTTTCATAGCACCAAATATTATTAATCCTGATCTAAACTCCGATGGAAGATCAACTCCGGGGCGACCACTTTCATAACATCAAAATAACAACTATTCCTGATATGATAAAACCTCCAATTAGAGACTACCTCTATGGGGCGACCACCTTTATAACCCCGAGTATGATTAATCATGATTTAATCCAAACTCCAATAATATACCATCTCCAGGAGCGAACACTTTAAAACACCATAATAATGACCATTCCTGATATGATCAAACTTCCATTGAAAGACCTTTCTTGGAGCGACCACTTTCATAGCACCAAGTTTGATTAATCCTGATCTAATCCAAACTCCAATGATATACCATCTCCAGGAGCGAACACTTTCATAACACCAAGTATGATTAATCATGGTTTAATCCAACCTCCAACAGACCATCTCCAGGAGCGAACACTTTTAGAACACCAAGAACGACTATTTCTGATAAAACCTCCAATCAAATACTATCTTGAGGAGCGACCACTTTCATAGCACCAAGTTTGATTAATCATGATTTAATCCAACCTCCAATGGACGACTATCTCCAAGAGCGACTCCTTTTAGAACACCAAGAATGACCATTTCTGATATGATCAAACCTCCAATAAAAGACCCTTTCCCGGGGCGACCACTTTTAAAACACCGAAAGAAGAACCATTCATTAAAGATAAAACCTCAAATGAAAGATTACCTTCAGAAGCGACCATTTTTATAACACCAAGTATGATTAATCATGGTTTAATCCAACCTCCAATGAAAGACCATCTCCAAGAGCGACTCCTTTTAGAACACCAAGAATGACCATTCCTGATATGATCAAACCAATAAAAGACCCTTTCCTGGAGCGACTACTTTCATAGCACCAAATATTATTAATCCTGATCTAATCCAAACTCCAATGATATACCATCTCCAGGAGCGAACACTTTTAGAACACCAAGAATGACTGATATGATCAAACCTCCAAAGAACGACTATCTCCATGAGCGACCAGGAGTATCTAGATATCAACAGATGTATCATGATAGATTCTACCATACAGGTGTACTCTATAACTACTCCTCAACTTCACTATCTATAATCAAGTTAATTTTCTTGGCCATCTCTGAAATTAAATAATGAAATAAATTCAGAGACCAATTAACCTCATTTGATAAAGACATTATAGTTAATTATCGTATAGAACATAAATTTTCGAAGTCCATAAATCTTGAGCCCAAAGAGCGGGTGAGAAATGGGAGGTCCATCTATTGAATTCGGTCGGATAATTGGAGGTCCGCACTTGGGAGGCTCTGTAAGGAGACCTAATAACAGGGGCTACCCTAAACCCTTTAATCACAGTACTTAACTTACAAAAATGTAATCGTTCATGGTAATGAGCCAATCCTTTGTAGTTTCTAATTGCTGATCACCATGCCGGATTTTATTTAAGACCCGCCAATGTTTTGTGGAATGTTGTGGCAAGTGGAAATGTACTTGATCACCTTGGAAGATGTGAATACAAGAATTTTAGGATTGTTGTGTTTGAAATTTCTTTTAGAATATATATATATATTATTTTTCATGTTGTTTTCTATTTCTTTAGAATGTTGAGGCAAGTGGTAATTGTGTGATAACCTTGAGAGTTGTGAATATAAGGATTTTAGGGGTTTGTTGTGTGTTTGAACTTTCTTTTAGAATATATATATTCTTCTTTTTTTGTATTTTTTTTCCTTTTCTTTAGAATGTTGGCAAGTGGAAGTTGTTTGATTACCTTGGAAGTTGTGAATATAAGAATTTTGGGATTGTTGTGTTTGAACTTTCTTTTAGAATATATATCATCTTTGTGTTAATTTATACCTAACTCGCTTTTTCTTTATTGTTTGCGGAAGAGCATTGCTTGATGCAAATATTTGAATGTAATTCTACTGTCCTATAAGCTTATGTCCATAGATTTCTTGAAAACCATTTCTGAGATTCCATCCTTCAGTGCTGCGTATATAAGCAGAATCGTCCAATACAGTATTAGAGCTCTGAGAAGCGGTCTGGTGGATTAAATTGGCGAAACCGCTGGGAGGGTTCACCACTGATGAGCCAAGCCCTCCCAATATTCTTTCATCGCAGTAAGGGAAGTAGAAGTTTGTATTATGTATAAAAGAAACATTCGTGCTTTTAAATCCTTTCATTTTATATGTGATAATAAAAATAGTAAAGATCAAAAATAGCTTTAATTGAGCTTATGGGAGATATATAAAAAACATAATTTGATAAAAGTACTGCCTGTCTTAAGGCGATATATATATATTCTTTGTTGTTGTTTTTCTTTTTTTTAGAATGTTTGTAAGTTGAAATGTACTTGATCACCTTGGAAGTTGTGAATATAGGAATTTTGATTTTGTTGTGTGCTTGAACCTTCTTTGGTTCAATTGTTGTTTTCCCTTTCTTCAGAATTTTGGAAAGTAGAAATGTACTATATCTTGCAAGATGGGAATATAGGAATTTTAGGGGATTGTTGTTTGAAATATATATTTTTACAATACATATATATAATATTTTTGTTGTTGTTTCCCCTTTCTCTTTAAGAATGTCTAAATAATTTTTATAATTTTTTGTTTTTATATTTCGCGTTATTTATTTCAATCTACATTATTTATTTTAATTTTTTTTTTGAAGGAGACACACACAGAGGCAATTTTTTTCACACTTGGTTATCTCGTGTGTCTTCAATAAAGGTCACTGTAATATCTTTCAGAGTTACTGTCTGAATCCCGATATACATGCTAAAAGGTACAACTTCCTTAAGTTTTGTCCATGAGTGTATCTTTCAGAGTTATTGTCTGAATCCCGATATACATGCTAAAAGGTATAACTTCCTTAAGTTTTGTCCATGAGTGTAACTTTCAGAGTTATTGTCTGAATCCCGATATACATGCTAAAAGGTACAACTTCCTTAAGTTTTGTCCATGAGTGTAACTTTCAAGATATTGTCTGAATCCCGATATACTTGCTAAAAGGTACAACTTCCTTAAGTTTTGTCCATGAGTGTATATATAAAATATTCATATGACTCTATGCAGAATGTGACAATACATAATTCTTTTTGAAAATAGAGCAGTCCATGAATGAATATTTTATTATAAAGTTATATATTGGATCAAAATATAATTTATTTTACCAATATTTCAGTTGGCTGAACTCCAACCTTTTCAAGGTATTATAACATATTAATGTGTGTCAACAACAAAATCATCGCCACATTTTCAAACTAAATTCTATTGACGTTATGTGGCGCTGAGTTTGTTGTTGACAAACATTAATATGTTATAATACCTTGAAAAAGTTTGGCGTTAAACCAACTGAAATACTGGTAAAATAAATGATATTTTGATCCAATATTTGCCTTTTTAATTAAATTCATAATTGTATATTACCTTTCAATATATTAACTACAATTTGTTGATCTTATTTTAAAATCTTGAAACGGTTTCGTCTCAATATCAATAGATATTCTAGCTCTATTTTACATAGTAAAGTCTTTGTTGGTCTGCAATACCCACTTTTAAAATCATCTTTACGCTAGCTAAAGTTCCAGTTGGTATATACGTGAATTCTCTTTTTTCTTCATCATCGTTTCTTGATGTATACATAACTGGTATCCAAATAATTACTAAATCATTATAACCGCAATTTTTCTTTTTATTAAAATAATATGGTATCGAACGAATGATCTTTATCAAATATAG